CTATTAAATCTTTAATCAGTTAGAAGGTTTTATTTGATTAATATGTATATGTAAATCCCCAAATTCCTTTCAAGTCACAGTCCTGAGGGAACTAAAGGTTTTATCAGTGTAAAGAAGAGGTGACATTTTAGGTCAGACAATGCATGTTAGATTTGAGACCTTGTTTAGAATCTGTTTGTGTTTTAGTTTGGAGCCAGACTGGTTTTATTTCTAGAGTACAAATTTATAAAATGCCACTTTTGACTGACTGTCTATAAATAGTGTGCTTTTTGAACAAAATGAATTGTATCTGCAAATACAAATTCACCCCATAGATTCACGCGTGTGTGTGTGTGTGTGTGGGGGGGGGGGGGGGGGGGTGGGGGGGGTGGAATGTATGTGTGTGTCAGTGTGTGTGGGGGTGGAATGTGTGAGGGGGAAATAGAGAGTGTGTGTGTGTGTGTATGTGTGTGTGTGTCTGTGTGAGTGTGTCTGTGTGAGTGTGTGAGTGTGAGTGTGTGAGTGTGTATGAGTGTATCTGTGTGTGTGAGTGTGTGTGTGTGGGGGCAGAGCAGAGAGAGTGTGTGTGTGTGAGAGTGTGTGTGTGTGTGTTTGTGTGTGTGTATGTGTGTGTGTGTGGGTGAGGGGAGAAAAGAGAGGATTTACATATACATATTAATCAGTTAAAACCTTCTAACTGATTAAAGATTTAACAGCATCTTAGGTTTGTTTAATACACCCTCATCAGTGGCGTGGCCCTTTAATCTTTTACTTATAAATTCTGTGTCTGATATTACCTCTCTCACTAACACCTGAAGAAGGAGCAAGGCTCTGAAAGCTTGTGTTTTCAAATAAACCTGTTGGTCTGTTACCTGGTGTTGTGTGATTTCTGATGTTATCTTTGAAATTGAACAAATTGAACAAAACCAGGTCGAGCTGTTACAATCTCATTGCAGTCTCACTGTTTCAATCCCAGAATTGTCATGAAGGCCTGGAGTTGAATATTTTCGCCAAGTTTATCTGAGAGGTACACCAATTTCCCTGACTCCTAAAAAGTGAAATATTGTAGATGATGGAAATCTGGAAAAGCATCTTCTCTGCAGAAAGAAACCAAATGAAGTGAGCTCTGAATAAGAGTCATATCAGACTTGAAACTTGAAACTTGAAACAATCACTATGCTTCTCTCTCCACAGATGTTGCCAGACCTGCTGTGTTGCTCTAGCACTTTATGTTTTTATACCCAACTTGACTGGTATATGCTGATTTTTAAATTCTCACTCTGATGCAATCAAATTCCTTCCCATGACCTTGCCCCTGCCTATCTCGTACTCTCTATGATCCCTATGACCCACCAGGCTATCTGTGCTCTCCCAGTTCCGACTGTTTGAGCACGCCACTTTTTACAGTGCCTTCATCTCCTTGTCCAGAGTTTGGTTCCTCACTGTCTGTTCTATCCAGTCCATGATTCTGAAAATAAATTTTAACTCAGGATTTTGAAAACCTCAATCAGATCTCCTCTCAGCCATCTTCTTTCCAAAGAGAACAGTCCCAACGTCATCAATCTATCCTCATCACTGAAGTTTGTTGTTCCTGGAGTTATTCTTGTCCATTGCTCTCTCCAATACATTCACGTCCTTCCTACAATGTGACACCCACAATGATACACAATTGTCCAGTTGAGGTCTAACATGTACAGCATCACCTCTTCCTGTACTCTCTGTCCCTATTAATAAAGCCAAGAATACTGTGTACTTTATTAACTACTATCTGTGCCTGTCCTGCCACCTTCAATGATCATATACCCCCCCAGCTCTCTCTGCTCCTGCACCCCCTTTAGAACTGTGCCCCCTATTTTATATTGTCTTTCAGCGTTCCTACAAAGTGAATCACCTCTCACTTCTCTGCGCTGATCCTCATATGTCACCTATGTGCCCATTCCAACAAAGTGTCAAAGTCCTTTTGGAGATCCACACTATCCTCACAGTTTACAATTCTTCCAAGGTTCGTGTCATCTTTAAAATTTAAAATTGCCCCCTGCACACCAAGCTGCAGATCATTCACGTATAGATCAGGAAATAAGGTAACCCCACTCCAAACCCTTCCTCTAGCCCAAAACACATCCATCAACCCTTCCTCTCTGTTTCCTATCACTCAATCAATGTTAGAAGATCTACCCGAAAGTATAGCGTGCCTCTGATATCAGGTTTGTTAAGATTTGTTACTCAATTCCATTGGCTCCATCTCTACCTTTCCAGCTGCTGGAAACCAGCTTTTGAGGATGACATTTCCTTCAGACCCTGTACCAGGAAGTTCTGGAGCAATTGAAAATCAGAATCAATGTAAACGGCATTTGTTTTATTGACCTTTGTAAGCAATCATTTATCACTTGATGCTTGCCAACTCTCCTGTTTCAACTTGTTTGTCCATAATGTTTCCAGCAGTAAAGTGACCTACTGAATTCCCATAATGGAGGTGATCACTCAGTGACAAACACCGGGACTAATGCAGATCAATCAGCGTTGGTTCTACACATCCTGTCACTGTTTGTTTCCAAAGGCTAAAGGTAGCTGACCTCTACAATAGAACAGATTCCCAAAATATTATATTCAGTTCTCACATTTGGTGGACTTTCAAGCGACCTGCAAAGTGGGGGGATGGATGCCCTGGAAAGACTCCAGGCTGCATTTCATTGAATCCCTACAGTGCAGGAAGAGGCTAATTGGCCCCTCAAGTCCACACTGACCCTCTGAAGAACATCCCATCCAGATCCAAATCCCTATACCCCATGCATTCCCCATGGCTAACCCACCTAAACTACACATCTTTGGACTGTGGGAGGAAACCGGAGTACCCAGAGGAAACCCACACTGACACGGGGAGAATGTGCAAACTCCGCACGGATGAGGCTGGAATTGAACACAGGTCACATGGTGCTGTAAGGTAGCAATGCTAACCACTGAACCACCATGACAGTAAGGGGTTGGTATTGCTTTGAGTTAAAAGACCTGGTGTGTTATATTTCAGCTAGGGCCATCCAATGGAGTCATAGAGAGCCAAATAGCCTCCTTTTGCATGAGAACACTTCTGTGATTTTGGGATTAAACCATGGGTTCTGATCTCCATTCCACTCCAGCAGTGAACTTGTCAATCTTAGCCAGGAGTTGGTGGCAGGGACAGAGTACAGTCGAGGTTTGGGGGTGTTTGCCTGGGCAGACAGATACACATCATCCTAGTTGGCAATGCAGAGCGACACCAACAGCATAGGTTCGATTCCTGTGATGGCTGATATGGCCTCTGGAGCTATGGTCACCTTCACTTCCATTTCAGAATCAAAGCCGGGGTCAGTGAAGTGATACTTCAGCAGCAATCGACCAGAGGACAAAGATATTTGCAAAGGAACTAACAGCAATAAGAAGCAGAGCTATCTTACGCAGGGAGTGGTCAGGATCTGGGCCAAATAAAAATAATAAAGTTGATTTAAAAATAACTTACAACAGATCCAGAAATGATATGAGGAAAAGCCCAGTGGTGGAAAGTTATACCATCTGTTAAACTACTTATACCGGTCCTAAACGTACCTTATGAAAGTGCCAAATCTCTACAGTAGATATGAGCTAGACTTGCCTCAGATATTTATGATTATTAGTTACTACTGCAAGTAACGTTTCAACAACATGGTATCTGGATGCATCATGGCTTGGCATGGCAACTGCTCTGCCCAGGACCATAAGAAACTAAAGAGAGTTCCAAACACAGCCCAGCCCATCACACAAACCAGCCTCCCATCCATTGACTCCATCTATACTTCCCACTGCCTTGGGAAAGCAGCCAACATGATCAAAGACCCCTCCCACCCTGGTTATACTCTCTTCCACCCTCTTCCATAGGGCAGAAGATACAAAAGCTTAAGCTTCCCTGCTGTGATTAGACTTCTGAATGGACCTCTCAAATTTTAAATTTAATATTGACCTCGCTCTTTGTGCACCTTCTCTGCAGCCGTAACATTGTATTCCTCGCTCTGTTCTATTACCCTAATGCATTTTGTATGGTATGATCTACCTGTACTGCACACAAAACCAAACTTTTCACTGTACCTAGGTACATGTGACAATAATAAATCAAACCAAAAATAATACTTATCAGCTAACCTCTCTGGCCACTACACCTTTCACAAATGTGGAATCTCAATCCTCCAGAATTTGCACAATTTGTGGAGATGTTAAAAGGTGGCAAAGAAAGAAGATTTTTGTCTTGCCTTCAATGGGACAAGATCACAGGAATGCCACATTTCAAACAGAATAACAATTATTGCCCTTGAAATTTATACTTGGAATTCTGTCCTGAATGAAGGCTTTGACAGCAATTTTTGTTTTAGCAATGCTTGCGTTCTCTACTACAAAGTCATTTGTAATAATGAGGGGGGGTGGGGTGATTAAGTGAGCTCGATAACCTCCCATTTTGAAAGGGATTGTCAGTGATAGCCTGTCAAACCAGAAACGATTGTGATAAGAGTTGCCCGAAGTTATCTCTGTCAGTAATAGCCCACTTCTAAAGACCTGTTCAAGTCTGAAGTCAGACTACATGGGGATAAACAAAAGACATCAATAAATTGCACTCTGATGAAGAGCCACCTAGACTCGAAACATTAGCTTGCTCTCTCTCGACAGATGCTGCCTGACCTGCTGTGATCTCCAGCATTTGTTGTTTTCAGTACAGATTCCAGCATCTGCAGTGACTTGCTCCTATCAATAAATTGACCCACAGCTGGTCTTCCTCAAATAGGATTAATATTAAATTGATAGATTGCGAATGGAGGCAAATTCAGAACTCGTTCCCGAATAAACTTCCAGTAATGCAGAAGTACAGAAATCAAATACAAATGGAATATCATCTCGTTTAAGCATTGTCAAATAATCTCTGCAATTTATGCAGAGTTAAGGTAATTTGTCAGTCCCTCTGAATGCTGAAGGATTAATGTTGCATTCAATCAGTGTTGACACTTGTTCCCCCTTGAACTTACCCAGATTCCCACCGCCAGAACCACCAGGAAATAGATGACAATGACTGAGATATCCGCTGGGTTGTTGACAGCTATCGTGGACTCGGTGTTGCCAGCACCTGTGGTGGTGAGGCTGCCTGGGGGCATGGTGCCCCTTGCCAATTTCATTCCTGAAGCACGCAGATCGTTCTCTCTCTCTGCCTCGCCGGAACAGACACGGAGATAATGTAAAGGTTCCTGCAGCTTGTTATAGACCTAGCCAGTCAAGGTGTGGTTCAAATTACCTTCTGTTAATGACAAAACCAGGAAATAAAAAGAAGGGCGGCTTTGTGCGATCAAGAGCATTTTATTTCTTCGCCTGAAGTGCAACTTTGCTCCAATCAGGAATTTGAACATTCTCCATTTGTTAATCATCAACAAAGCCTGGCCGCACTCTCTCAGGTTTAAGTCTCTCTCCAAAGGATTGTACGGAAAGATCTCAGGCTACATTCCCTCCTCCCAGTCCCCAAGGGATGCTGCACTGTCAGAGATGCTGCCTTCGGACTGAATTGTGAAACTGACTCCTTCCCCCACAAACTCCAAAGTACTGTTTTACAGGCACTGTTTAAACTAAGGCCACGGATGTGTTCCTAATCAAAACACATTATCCTGAAAACAGATTATTTATCTCATTGCCATCTGTAGATGGCATTAACATTCTGTCATTAACAGAGGGTAATTTGAACCTGGCTGGGTCTATAAAAAGCTGCAGGAACCTTTACATTATCTCCGTGTCTGTTCCTGCAAGGCAGAGAGAGAGAGAGAACGATCTGCGTGCTTCAGGAATGAAATTGGCAAGGGGCACCATGCCCCCAGGCAGCCTCACCACCACAGGTGCTGGCAACACCGAGTCCACAATAGCTGTCAACAACCCAGTTTTGTTGTGAGCAAGTTGGTCCAATTATCTAGTACAAATGTACTTGTGGTCGTTGGAGGTCAGTCTTCTCAGCTCCAGGACATCTCTGCAGGAGTTCCTCAGGTTAGTGTCCGAGGCCCAACCATCTTCATCAATGACCTTCCCTCCATCATAAGGTCAGAAGTGGGGATGTTCGCCGATAATCGATTTGATTTATTACTGTCACAAGCACCTAGGTACAGTCTTACGTGCTTTACTGCAGATTGTACTGTACAAATGAATCAGGGTAACAGAACAGAGCGCAGGATACAGTGTTACAGCTGTTGAGAAGGTGCAGAGAGAGATCAACATTTGCATTAAAGCAGTCCATTCAAAAGTCTGATATCAGCAGGATTGCACAATGTTCAGCACCATTCTTGACTCCTCAGATACTGAAGCAGTCCATGTTCAAATGCAACAAGATCTGGACAATATCCAGGCTTGGGCTGAGCGGTGGCAAATGCTAGGGAATGACCATCTTCAATAAGA